CCTACTTTTCTGAAGCTCATTTAAGCTTCCTTAATTGCTCTACACACATCTGAACTAACTTTTGTCTTTTAAGTTGGCCTACTTCCTTGGCTGACATGCACAGCGGTAGATCAGTCCATCTAGAGCTCCTGCCAGGGCGTTCGTTCTTTTGCAACCATTGCAGCTACCTGATACCGTGCCCCGATTGCCGGCGCTCCCCTCGCTGCTGCGTCCTTCATGGTAAGCTCTCTGAGGAAGAGATTCTCCTTTTACTGCACTTTCCTACTTGCCTGGGATATCAGTTGAAGAGTAACAGCTGCAGCATGAACAACAGGATCTAACAGTTGATCACGACATGTAATAAATATGAAAGTATTGCCGGTTGCTCACAATGTACTATTGACCTTGATGACCCCCCCCCCCCTTTTTTCTGCAATATTCAGTTTGACCATTGTTGTTTTTACCATTAAAATACTTTCTCTGTATCACTGTGTCCTGATCATATTATTGTCTTATTTTTCTCATTGCTTGGCAAGTTCTGTTCAAGTGTATCTTCTATTTTCTTTCTAGTGTCAAGTATACAGGGTATTCATTATTATTCCTTTGTGAAGCTCACCTGTCCTGCACTATACTCCCGCCCCAAGGAAATAGTCTTAACTCCCCGAGTTCCTATTTCCTCTATGGATTTTGAATAATAATTCTTCACCTTCTGGGCATGATTTTCCTATGCCAGTTCACCTTAAATCAGAGTACAACTTAAATTCCTCAGTAAATATCGCTGTACCAGTCTAAAAAAAAGGAGATCTTGAATTAACTTACCTTTGTAAATTATCAGCACACATTTCCTGGATGTGACCCAGGTTAAAGAGTTTAAGAATGCCCACACACAGTGGATTTAAATTCGTGCCCTAAACCACTTCAGTTTTCTTTATGGACCAGGCCTGAGAGCCTACAGACACAAAGTAAGTTTCTTGAAATGAAATATTGCTGTAGTTATTGCTGTTTAAAACATACACAATGTGCTTCTTTAAGGAGAATTCTTTTGTCCACAAGTATGAAATACCCATGAAAACAAAAAAAAAGTGCAACTTTATATGTTACAACATATTTTATACAGGCATCTGCAGCATTTCTTCTTGGCTAATGGCCAGCAAAACTATTAACAGTAACTCATGGCATAGAAGGAAATTTTCTTCCAGGCCTATTTTCTAATTGCTAGGAAAGAAAACTAAAAATAGACTTTACAAGTTTGGGGGGCAGACTGCAAATGCTGGGAGAGCTCTATTAACTTCCAGATGCTCTATGGCTTTACAGTCTCTGAAGATCTGGCTCATTGATTTCTTCAGAGGAAAAATTAGGAATGAACCCAAAGTGGGAGATTTGATTCCAGCTATGCCCTAGTTTTATTTGTATTTTAGAAAGACTTAATTATTTTCCTCTAGTTCTAATAGAAAGTCATTAGAAATGGAATGCTTTGCTCCCTACTTATGACACGTAATTATATAAATGCTCCACAAATTTTATAATATTTAGTAAAGAATTTTGTAATATTTAGTAAAGAATTTCAAACATACCCTGACCAAATTGCACAGACTCCTCTTTTTCCTGTTGTATGTCTAGTCCCTCTCCATGCCACAGCCCATTAACCTTCTTCATCTCACACAGTTTCTGTCTGTCCAGTTCCCCCAGACGTGTTGATTAAATCTTCTTAAAGAGGAAATGCTGAATTTGCAGTTCACAGTAATTCTTCTGTTTAACCCCTCTCCTGAGCCTCCCTTTGAAGATAAGACAGTATCCCTTCTTCACCCTCCTCTCAGATTTCCACTTTCCCTTCATCACTGTCCTCAAGGATTGCTGCACTTCACAACACCCACCAGCCAGTTTTGGAGATCCCACCCCATCCCGACCCTGCGATGCAGAAGCAGGTCCCACACCTCCATCACCCTACTCCATGCACCTGCGTCAACTCTGTGGCCTAAGGACTGTGTCACACGGGCACTGATTTTGCCCTCAGTTAAATTTCAAGTGGCAACCAGGTGGCTCACAGTGCAATTTAAGACCTGATTCTGTATAACTCCTCTTTCTCTTAAAATAATGTTTTCATTGAGATTTATGATATGTCAATATAACTTGCTATAGGATTGAGATCTGACACAAGGCTTTTGTTTAAAAACTACATGGAGCACTTCCTCTTTTGGTGGAGCTGGGCTTTATTTGTTGATTTTCAGGAAGAGAACTGTATTTCATTGCTTATTCATTGTCGGTACAAAAGCCAAATCCTACCCTCTTTTAACAACGTGCCACTGCTTTCATTAAAGGAAGTTGTACAATTTCTCTGGCACAATGAGGAAACACAAACAGACCTTAAGTTTCATAAAGCTTTGTACAGTTTCAGTACAGATGATTCATTGTGACCTGCTAAACACAAAAGCTGCAAACACGAGAAAAGGGGAAAAATGGCCTTTACTTTTTTCCTTGGATGGCGCTTTTCAAATTTGTTAGCTTAGCTGCTACCTGTCCTGAATTGGAAATCCATTGTAAGAAATGTGAAGTCATAACTTACACATAAAAGTTTTTTTTCTAGACCAGGAGATGCAAACGCTTAACAGTAATATAACTGTGGCACTGCTCCCTCTAATTCTTGACTCTCTGCCACTTACAGTAGTGTTTACGGACCTTGAGTTGGGCAGCTAAGCAAGCTCTGAGTGAAGGACAGACAGCGAAACTTGAAGAGAGCATGACTGAACTCGGCGCATTTCTCAGCTGCAGATTTGTGTTTAGTGCAGCTACAAGGAAGGGTTTATGGACTTTTGGACTCAAATCATCCCTTTGGATAAAATCAGCTCACCTGCAGTTTCAAGACACTGATGACAGTGGCAATGCCACTTCTATTTTGCAGAAAAGAGCTCCATCAGAGGAACTAGGTGCCTGCGATTGCAGACTTTATCCAAAAGGACTCTGTACCTTCTTGCTTCTCCTACCACCAGCAAGACCCACCGTTGAGACTAAGCATGGACGCGCAGAGCCAGTTGGAAGGGAGCTCAGTAGGAAGGCTGGCAGGTCACGGGCTCCAGTGCACATTCCCCTAGTTGTTTCTGCTTTTTTTTTTGTCTTTTAGCAAATGCCTCTCTGTACAACATATAGGCAGATACCCTACAAAAAGCTGGGAGCAGAACACAGGGCCCCTGTTTCATGTTAGCCAGCAGGCTACAAAGTTATGCTCCCTTTGCATTTTGTCCCAGTTTTCTTGCTTCCTGTCTGCAGTGCTGGTCCAGCTTCAAAGAGTGGTCCACTGATTTGGGTACCCTCTGGCAAGGTGGGAGTAGGGAATGGAGGTTAGATGCTCTACAGTGAAGCCTCCCACTTGCTGAACCACAAGAATACTGTGTACATTTGTGCCGTCCCACATTTGCAAATAAAAGGCATCCTGAGAGCACCCCTGCCTGAAGAGTCCTCTCTGGATTTGTATGTACCAGGATGACTACTGTATTCATCCCAAACAACTGTAGGTGGGTGAGATGACAGGTGCCTACATGTTGAAATTGGTTGAAGTAGCAGGAGTTATGGACCATCACAGCAACTGACTTCAGGCACTTTTGCAGAGCCAAAACCTGAAATGCCAACAGATTCCCAAGTGCTAAAAATGTCCACTAAAATATCCTTTTGACTTAATTACCTATTTAGACATCTTCAGTGAAATTTAGGTGCCAAAAGATTACCTTTTTTTTTCTTTAAACTCTTTCCTGGAATATTGCAGCTACTCTGAGATGAAAAGCTGTAGGCAAGTTGAAGTTACCAATCTGGGCACTCATATGTCAAGCATGTCCTTCAGTCTTTCTTTCTTCTGGATATAGGCCATAGTACAGAACAGAGAAAGGCAATATCAGCTGCCAACCAGAGCATTACATGTGCCCGACTATAGTCATTTAAATCCATGCCCAAACTTCTACAAAGACCATGTTCCCCTCTTTCCTGCAGTGTTCCGTTGGAAAGAAAGCTTGATAAAAACATGTAAGGATTTGAGTCTTCTCTGAGCCACTAAGTACCTTGATACAGCACTTGAAAGTGATACGAGAACAAGTGCGCTGGTCCCAAAAGGAAAATTGCGGTTTGGTTCATATAAGAGCTTTGTTATTTTCTCTGGAGCAGTGCACAAAGGGCCCTAGAGATGCAAACATAGCTCTTCTCCGCTCCTCATATGGCTAATGGCCTGGCTGGTGCCATCCTTTCTGTCTCTTCTTCTGACTCATACCCCTCTACTCCCACAGTGAATCGAGACCTTGGCATTAGAGCTGTATTATCTGCTCTGGTGAAATGATGCTGGCTCACTGAATTTCCTCTTCGACCTGACAGATTGGATGAGCCTGCTCGTCTTTCCAAGCGTGCCATTGGAATCAGCTCTTCCTGGCGGTGCTTTGCTTCGAGTGGCCGTAGTCGGGGCTGAGGTCTGAACGTTATCGGCAACGCAGTGTCAGAGCCACTTCTGTGGTGATCTGAAGGAAAATAGACAACTAATTCATATTTTGAAGAAGAGAAAAGAGAAACATCATGGTATTGGCAAGGACAGTTAAAGGGTATGCTTCAGTACAACACAGCATTACAGTTATAAACCCTGGGACCAAAGCATTTGAAATAATTAGTATAGAATAAGAAAGCAGTCAAGAACTAAATATAACTCTAATTTTTTATTTTCATCCTGAAGCTGATGTTTAAAAGATTTTATTGATCTTGTTTCTACCCTGAAACCCCAGTGAATAAGCACATTCAGCTGGCTTTTAGTGCCTTGCAGAGCTGCTCAATGCCTTCACAGGGCAAGAGTGCTCCTTTATATAGCTTTCAATTTTCTACAAATTTCACAAGTATACCTAGTACCATGGTTGAAAAGCATGGTGAAACCCACAGCAGAAGACAAAAAGTGATGAGGGAGAAGACTTTAAGTGCCATCAAAAATCAAGTTTACCAGTCGCCTGCGATTAACAACTGGGAAGAAAACAGTTTCACCTGAAACCAGGAGTTTGACTCTAGGGTGCTTTGATTACATTGGGTGTGTCAGACCTGCTCCTACCAGCTTTCTTTGCCACAAGCACACAATAAAAATTTGACAGCAATAGGCCAATAACTTGCTTTCTCATTCTCTTGAGTTTATAGAATATACTTTTTCACTTTTCTTAAAGCCACTTGTAGTCTGACTGTGCACTAGCAAATTAGTTAATTTAAGAAACAGCTTGTAACAAGCTAGGAGGTTTTGGGAGATAAACGCAAAGGCCTATGAATAATAAAATTAGACTATATCCTGTTGCAGTTAAAGCACACGTGAAATGGGTGTAGTCACACAGTCAAAATTTATCAATTTATTGCAGCTTAATAACCATTAAACTATTTTAAGCTAATGTTTACTTCACAGTTGGCACAAAGTAAGAATGTGTGCACTAGCACTTATCTCTACCAAACAGAGGTACAGATTTCTTTAGCAGCAGAACCTGCTTCTCATAGGCTATGTGGGCATACCACACCATAAGCAATAAAATAAGTTTTCTCAGATTTGAAGGGCCTCTACTTAGCCTTTTGGGAGCATTACTGCTACAAAGTATGAATTATATATATTGTCAAAGAAATAATTCGTTTGTATAAGTGGCAGAACGAGCTGACAGGTGGTTTAAGGATTTATATGTGGTCATTTCTGACCTCTTAGTTACTAAACTTTCTGCACATGCTATATATAAAAGCTAAACCAAGCTTGCTGGAGGATGTGTGTTCCAGGAAGACTTCCAGGCGTAGACAGAAGAGGTGGCATTTATCTCTCTAAATGCGTATGTGCATACACGAGGTTTCCATTCTAATTTCCTACATACTGAGTATTTCTCTTCTCAGTTCCCAAGTGCAATTCATCTTGTCCTAACACAGTTTATGAGAGGTGTTTAGGGTGGCTTCCTCCTGCTGGAGGCATTAAAGTGGTGTGATTGTGATGCAATGGACCTAAGATGGGGCCAGAAGCCAGACCAAAAATAATTTAAATAGATCACAGGCCTAGCTACTAGTGAAAATGCATCTGCATTCACTGCCTCAGGATTTACTCCTCTCCTCACTGAAATAACGTGCCTGTCCGCTATAGCAGGACTTGGTCTCTTGAAAGTATCTGAAATACTTTTAGGTTTGAGGCTGCTGTGTAGAACAATTTGAATCTTTTAGAAAGACACATATCCCCCGCCACGGAGTCCCGACAAACAGAACGAATCAGCTGTATGAAAAAAAATATCCCCTTGAGTAACTTTGATTTTCCCCTCTGAATAGATTTTACGGGTTTCTGTTCTTCTGCCCAGCCCCAAGGGGATGGTTTGCGTACACAGATCTCTTTTGCTTTCTTCTCTTTCAGAGTAAAACAGAAAGGGAAGAAAGAAAACAATTTTGCACCTGCAGGAAATAAACTTTGTTGTCCAAGTTTTTGATACAAAGACAAAGATTAAAAATATTGTTTCAGTAGCTATAGCTATTTTTGCCAGAAATGAAAAGGAATTTCTCTACGGAAGCCAAATGCATTTCAGGTTCACATAAACTCAGAAAGGAGTCAGGAAGATTTCAGATAGAGATAATGATGAACATTCAAGTGCTGTAAATTCCATGTTTTCTCTGACACTGTCTTGCTATGTTTCTTAGGGCAATTCAGTGTTGCTCCATCCATAACCTCTGCCTCCTTACTTAGAGTGTAAGTGAGGATGGGTCTGCATTTTACTGTGTACATATGGTAACCTGAGACTGGCTGATAACTTCATGCAATAATACCAGTACTACTACAGAAAAGTTCATAGAGAGCAAGCTGGGAAAAGGGAAGAAGAGACCAGCTGCTTGGGGACAGATTCTGTTAGGATTTTTTGCTAAGTTACATGATCTCCACAAACACAGAGGATCTTCAAGGCTCAAGGGTGGGTGGGGAGCCCCCAGTACCCCAGTCAGAGGAATGAGCCCGAGCCCCTGCCCTGATCCATCATGGGGGCGATCAGCTCCATAGGCTGGGTAAGACCCACCATGATAAGCCAATGGAGAGGTTCTCCGTGGGGCATCTCATAGGGTGAGGTGCAGTAGGGTACAGGGCTCATTATTGGGATGTCTGGGGAGAGTATTTTTGGATCATACAGGACTTACAATGGAATATTGGGGGTTGGAACCGAAGGCAGGGAAAGGAACTGATCAGGGTAGTTTGAGGAGGAAGAAGTACAGGAAAACAGAGAAAGAAGGGGATAAAAAGGGCTGCTCTCTTGTAAACAGGGGCTGGTCAGTATATGCGTCTGGTGCTCTGTGCCTGATCAGCACAGTCTGTCCTGTCTTCCCATTAAACTCCACTTCTGACTGTTTTCCTAGGTAAGCAGGTCCCTATACCATGTACCTGTGTGTGTGAAGGTCTGAGTGGCAGAAGCTGGGAGGACTGGGGTGCATGCATATAGTGTGGGTGCATATGTCAGTGCAAAATTGCTAGCGATCACCAAGCCAGAGTAGCCATTGAGTAGGATAAGAGGGTTGAGAACCAAGTGCTGGAGCAGCCATAAGTCTGGGACAGAGACTGGGGAGAGCAGAAGGCCTGTGAGTTGACTACTGTGAGGGGCAGAAGGTCCAGACCAGTGACTGAAGAGACCATGGGGTCAGTGGTTGGCTACTGGTAAGGCCATAATTTGGACCTGATACCAAAGAGACAAGCTGCATGTGTGTGTCCCTGTGTGTGAGGCAAGGAGACACCAGGGGATCCAGGAGTCCGCGACAGGGAAGACTTGGTGTCCAAGGCCAGCTACTGGAGGGATCTGTAGTGCATGGTGGGGAGAAGAGCATCTGTGCGTGTATATGTGCCTGTGTGTAGGGCTGAGTACCAGTCGCTGCCATTGGGCTCTGTCCCAAGGGGCTCCGATGCCCAAGTGCCACCAAATGGGGAGACCGAGGGTCCAGGGCCAGCTACTGGACAGAGCGTGTGTCTAAGGACATCTACTGGGGGATTCAGATAGCATGTATGTATATATAATCTTCCACTAACAGCCTTTCACCCTGATCAGCCAGAGAGGGGACCGGCACGAGGCCATTGGTGCTGTTTGTGTTTGCGTGAGCGCTGTGGCCTGTCTGTGCTCTCTGCGTGTCCGGCCACATGTACGTGTACCCGAATTACGGTGAGGGGGTGCCTGTCGGGAGTACCTGCCCAGCCTTGCTACCAGCGGGACCTGGGGGCACGCAGCTGCTTCAGCAGCTCCTAACGATTTCACATGCAGTTGTGTCTGTGGGACTGTGGGGAACAGATAATTTTCTTTCTCGGGCTTGCAGGGATGCCCTCGTGGCCAGGCCAGACCGCAGAGATCACAGGAATATTTGTGCAAGAGGGAAAAAGAGAAAACTAGGCGTTGCTGGAACGAGACAGAAACTACTGCAGTAATGACCATATAAACAACATAGATGAAAAAGATAGGAGAGGAGGGTGTAGCTCATTTAAAGAGGCCAGGGACTTCCATGGGAGCATTCCTTAGTACTGTTAAATCCAGTGAGCAAGTGGCCAAGTTTCTTTCACCACTGGAGCAGGATACATAGTAAAGCACTTCCATTACCTGTAAAAGTTACACGCCTGGCCTTTCGTCTCATGGGCTGGCTGGGGCCCTGGGGCAAAGAGAGGTAGCGTACTTCGGTGGTGCTAGCCTGTGGATGAGACAGAAATGTGTTTGGTGCCCGTGATTGCCTCCGCAATTTGCACTTATTGGGTGGGACGGTAAAGAGGGATGGTCACACGCTTTTTCTGTTGTGCCTCTGCACCTTTGCAGCCAAATTTAGAAGGGTGTGAATAAGTTCAGTGCTTGGGTTGGATGGTTGGACTCAGCGTGAAAATGTCTGTGTCTGATATAATAGCCCGAAGGGTTTTTTCACAGTCAGCAGAGAGAAATATGTTCTTCACCTTTCTTATTTCAGGTGACAACTTTAAATAAAATTAACACACGCAACAAGCACTTATTTCTCTTCCTTAACTGTGATTATCTCAGCTGTAAGTGTCTACACTATCCAGTGCCTGCATTTGGTCAGACAAATCTTACTCTTACTGATCAAGAGCCCAAATTGACAGTGCAAGGTGTCAAGGGCTTTGCATCAGGCCTTTTGTGATTATACTATGTTTTGCAAATGCCAAAATAATGCAAGTTACATCATTTTGCTACTTACAGCCACAGTAGCTGATTTCTGACCAATGTATACAGGTAGGACATAAAGATGCTGCTGTCAACATGCTAAGTAACTCTCTTTCTTCTTAGGTGCCACATGAGGACACCGGGGAAAGTATCCATTTTAACTATTGCAAAAAGCATTTAAAAATGGGTGTCTCTTTCCTTATTTGCAGAGAAGCAGAGGCATTTTTTAGAAGAATAGTACTTTACATAACAGGTACCAGTCTACCCCAGGGTAAGCTGTTTCCCTTCCTGCAACTCTGCCTCAGGCTGTGCTGCCGACGGATGAGGATTTCTTGGGCTTCTTTCTCATTTGTGTTGGTGGGCAGGTTGTGTCGGCTGTATGTCGGTGCCTGAAACAGAAAATGCAGCCAGCTGATTTTCTTTGCGCTTGCAGGGTGAATAACCTTGTGCAGTCCGGTCGACCACGGGGCCAAGGGCTTGGCCATGGACCCACCACAGCTCTCTTTGGTATCACATGGCAAAATGCAGCCTCGCACTAACCTCACTGCTGCAGAGCAAGATGGAAGGAAGCATGAAAATAGCTGTAAGTCTCAGACCTGAAGGGCTACATTTTGATGCCATTTTTGATAGGCTCATGCCTGCTTAAAGCGTACCATGAAAATATACCCACCTACACAAGGCTGTTAACATCTCTGGGCTTGTCCTCCCTTTGTCAGCCCTCTCCTGATCACACAATTGGGAGTTACAGATCTGATGCAGATCCCGAGAGAGAGAGAGAGCTGGTTAACCCACCTCTGTGCCTTGTTACTTGTATTACTGAGCCAGGAGCAAGTTGCAGATGTGCCCGGGAGCAAAAGACTACGTTAAGAAGAGTACATCTCCAGAATGAGATGCACAGCTGAGTTTCCTTTCCATACTTGGAAAAACTAGACCTTAATATTACCCTAAAACTGAGCATCTTTTAGGACAAGGTTTTTAATTTATCATATACATCTAGTGAAATAAGGGGAATAATTATCTACCTTAAAGAGAAAAATTCATTTAAGTTTATAAGCCCTCTTGAAAAGCAGAACCTGATCTCTGTTTCTCTTGCAAGGGTCCCTTGTAAAGTTGGTCTGGTGAGCCGGAGCATTACCAGACCTTCAGAGCTGAAAGTGAAGCATTATAAGTGATATTATTTTACTTCTGATCTTTCATTTCCAAAAGCACACAGTTCTCAATACCACATAGGAAGTGAATGGCGCAAACAGTCATTACTGTAATTGATTTTGAAGAGAGAGAAATCATTTCAGTAGTCTAAGAGGCAACCATATATGCAAATTGTTGCTGGTAAGATAAGAAATTAATAACATAAGGATAATTGGCCATGGCAAATCAAACAATATTAGGAATGAATATCATATTAATAATGACACATTTAAATGAGCAGGGCCTAGCATTTTCTAGTAAATGTGGATTACACAAGTTAGCCCTGTCTATCTGTGTAATTTCAAGGTTACTGTAATATTTTTTCTACCACTCATTGCCGGATGAGATATATCCTCTACAACTCATTGCTGTATGAGAGCACTCAGTTGTATATTCTGGGCCCAAGATTGGATTAAGTAGATTTTATACACAGAGCTGCATCAGAATCAGTACAAATTGCTGCAAAGCAAACCCCTGTTGAAGTATTATCACCCCCATTTTATGGGGAAAACAAACCCAAACGTGTAAAGCAACACCCCAGGGGACGTGGAATTTTAAATTTTTTTTGCCCTTTCTCCTCCTGTGGTGAGGGTAAATTGTTGCTCCCACCCAGACGGAGGACATACCAGCCTTCTCAGCTGACTTTGGGCTAAGCAACTTTTATCGCCACTGGTCCACCCACCTCCCCAAGGCAGTTTCACTGCTGCTGGCCACCTGCCAGCCCGTTGCTTCCCACGAAGCAAAACTACACGCCAGATATGTTCCGCGTCGGTCCATCCTGCTGGCCTGCAGCAGCACGCAGGTCACCCAGGAGGCCACCTCCACCGCCCAGGCTTTGCATGTCCCCAGGAAGAGGACGTGGGAGCTGGGGTTCCCCTGGGGATGTTTGGCAGCCTCGGGAAGGTGGTTTCTGAGTCACAGGTCGCAGTGCAGTTAGGGAAGCCTGACCTCTACAGCTCAGTCCCAGATTTTCCTGGCTTTCCCCACTGCCATTAGGGTGAAAAGCTGATGGGAAAAAAAAACCCTGCTTTCCCTTTTTCCACCCAGCATCAAGCCCTGATCTAGGGCTCCTTCCCTGCTTTCCCTTCCCCATCCAGCTCCTGGGTCGGAGCAGCTGCAGGCTCCGGGCCCACATTTCCCACCAGTGTGACCCCAGGGCTGGTCCCAGTGCTACCACCCGCCGTGGCTATGATATGGGGAGGGCAAACAAGAGCTTTCAGTCTGCGCATGATAGCAGGACGCTTACGCACCCTTTGTCGCACTTGATATAGATTATGTGCCAGGACATCTCTCATAGACTCCACCTCTGCGGGGGAGAGCCTATGTACACGCCGATTTCTACCCCTCCTGTAAATAAAAGAGAAGTTTAAATATGATATTAATGAGTTGATTAAATAGTATTCCCACGCATGATCTATTCTTAGTGCTGGAACAGAAGGCTCTGAAGAGCCTTTCAGTGACCAGTGACACTGCAAAATCCTCCACAGATGAATAAAAAATGTCAGATTTTGCCCTTTCCTGGGTTTTATCAATATACTGGGTAGTCAGAATGGGCCTTAAGCCTTCATACAGCTGTTAGCAGAAACTCTCCATTTCTTGCTCAAAGCTTAATACGGAAGTTCACATTTAAGGATTAGATTGGGCAACAATCGGTTGTAGATTCAGGAAAGCACTGTAGGTTTCCTCCTCTGTTTGAATACATTCTTCAGCATGTCCTAGCAGTTTGAGCCTTGCAGTCCTACTGGTTTTAACTCCCTTGAGAAAGTGCAGCAAATCCTTAAGAAATAAAGTACATGCTGATTAAGGAGTCTGAGATATCTGCTTTTTGGGGAGGAGAACGTATAAGGTTTCCTTGGTACTGAGCCTGTTTTTCCATTTAAAATAAAAGAACTACCTAAAAGATAGTCATCTTTGCACTTTTAACAAACTGGGACAAGAGGCCGACAGTTCCTTGTAGCTGCCTGGCCTTTTCACCAGCAAAACAATGGATGAGGGCTGCTGTGAAATGTTAACTGGTTTTGCTAAATCAGTCAATCTGTGTGAGAGTTAGAGTTCGGCTAAATTCCCAAGAAAAGAAAGGGAAACAGATAGTGATAACCCAGGATGAATCAGGCCGAGTTCATCTTGCTGTTCCTATTTTTTTCCTTTCTCCATTTTTCTTTCTTACCCCTTTTTTTTTTAAAAAAAAAAAAAATAAAATTGCAAATCTTTGTTCTCAGTTAAGTGATGTCCTTGAAATGTTGTCTGTAAATTATGTGATTAAAGAATGGATTATGATCAAGGTACAGTATGACCAAAACTTTGTGTGCATTTATTTTTTACTCCCTCTAAAATAAATTAAAAACTTTTAATGGCAAAGGGAGGTCGATTCAAGCTAAACTAAGATTATGCCGTAAACATAGGAAAAAAGTTGGAATTTGCAATTACAGCTAGTCTAATAAGATTGTCACTGTTTTTTGCCATAATCTAATATGAACATCTTGAAAATTTGTAGGACCATCATGAGCTGGCTGGATTCTGCATTTTACTGCCTCTTACCATCACGTAGATGGTGAGCACTGGTGGCCTGGCCGTGTCCAAAGTGCTTGGAATATAAGACTTAATACCAGATATATTTCAAAGTTTTGGAATGTGTTTTCATCCTGCGACAGACCAAAAATAAGATCTGCCAAATTTTTCATAACGTAAGAAGAAAGAGAGAAAATGACAATAGTTTCAGGAGTAGTGTTAGTGGTAGGGCTGGGGTAAGCAATATGTTAAGGATCTCACTGAGGCATGACAGACCCATGAGTCTACCATTCAGCTATCGGCAAGCCAGAGGGAGAAAAAATTACTCCCTTTCTGGATTTGACCAGAAATCTTATCTTGACCCTGATAAGTCCTTCCCAACAAATGTTTAATTGACATTGATCAATTCTCAACAACAGCAACAACAACAAACACAGGTATTTACCAGCAGGGAAAAAAGACCGTCACCACCACCCAATTCCAGGCCAGCTGGGTTTTTTGGTTGGTTGGTTGGTCGGTTTTTCACTTGCTTTCAGCTCTCAGGGGTAACACTGAGAGGATCCAGGGATGCTGCCAAGTTTCCAGGCTTAGGTGTAATGGCACCTTTATTCCATACTGGGACTAGCATGTCCCAGGAGGTGGGACAGCCCGTGTATGCCACTTTCCACAGCAAGGAAACCTGTCTCTCTGCTGTCAGCAGTCCCTAGCTGCTGCTGTCTTTCTGGGTGAAAGAAAAACCAAGGTCCCAGGGCACACCTGGGAAAACAAACACAAGCACAGCCCCTGGGGATTAATGGCAATCTAGTCTGTCGAGTAGTGGTATATAACATGCAGGCTCGGTTCATTTGCGTAATGAAAATCAAACTGTCATAGTTGATGCAAGCGGTGTTGACGTCATAGGGAATAACTGTCTGTCTTGTCCGCACATCACTGAATGTCTCCACAGGGTCTTTACACCTTACAGGTGGGAATAAATAGGGGAAAGTGGTGAGCAGAACTCCACTGGGAAGATATCAGATCATCCCTTTACTTTTCTAGTTCCACGCCTGACCCCCTCCACATGCCAGCACAGAAGTGACCTGTCCTAAGACATTTAAAGACTTATCATTTTGCTCTTAAAGTGACTAAAATAAAATAAAATAAATAAAATTCCCTGAGTTTCAGCTGACCTGGGGCAGCAAGAGAACAAACACCTCGAAGATAGTCTGTATTGTTCTGGAGCACAAATAAAAATTGTGTATTCTTTTCATGGGATTAGATATTAACCTACCCAACTGATAACAATGCACAAGTACGGTAATAAGGAACAGATTGCTTTTACATTTTGCAATATACAATACATTAAAAAAGAACTTCAAAAAAAACAGAACAAGTTCGGTATGTTACCAAACCGATAAAGCAATCCTTATTAAAACTATTTCTTTGTTCTTATTGAAGCTTCCAGCGTGTTACAACAAAGCATATCATTGGAGATATGTTTGTGAAGAAAATACTGAAATAATAATATGCCATGAAAACTGTCTGTGTCTCTGTAATGAGTACCACTACAGTATCTCTTTCTTCTTTAGATATGGATAGTTCATACATGGAGGAAATAAAATACCATCCACAAACCTTGTACAATTATTTTTTATATATTATGTATAATATTTTGAACTTTGTGAACTCTCCACCAATCTTCACTAGTCCTGTGAGGGAGGTAACATTCATTAGGCAGAGCTCTTGCACAACTGCACCACCACAAATGAAAACACAGCGCTTGATTCTGATTTGTATTGTATTGATACATTCCAAGATTTACTCTTACGAAAGTCAGCATTGCAGTAATACGAAGCCAACATTAAGTAAGCTCAGCATCAAACTGTCTCTCTCTAATGGGCATATTTCCTCCAAAAAAACAGCCATACAAACAGAGTTTTGATATCTGCTTGGCTCTGTTTTTGCTATTTCTATCCTTATTTCTAAGGCTTATATTCTCCAAAACATCATAACAAAATGCTCTATTTTCATTCAAATGTGGCTTCTTTGTTGCACAGCCCATGGGCAAATTTCTCCAGTCTGCACTGGAAATACTTACTGCATATTGGACACCCACTCCACCTGCAGGAATAACACCAGCATGAATGTAATTTGTGAGAATAATACTAATTCACAGTAATGGAGATCTGCTTTGATTGTTATAAAGCATTTCCCCTCCTGTGCCTAAAGGGTGCAGAACTGATCAGAGGTGCTAGTGAGAGAGTTTTCTCACTACTCTGGCACTACAAATATTGCCTTACATGCCATATGTTGGAATTTGATTTCAAATCTCTACTTGTTCATGGCCAGATTTTTGCATCCTCACTGAAGACAGGGACTTTAGATACAGGCTATCTCAATGATAACAATCAAACAATTTACAAATACATTTAGAAACCTTTTGGTCTTAAGCAGGTTCATGTAATTGCTCAGGAGAATGGAGAAATAAGAACTGCTGTATTAGCTCAGACCAAAGACCCAGCAACTAGCTCGCTATCCCATCTCCTCCAGTGCTCAACAGCAGACACCTATCAACAAACAGAGCTGGGAAAACACATATTTTCCTAGAACGGTCTCACAGCCTCCAGGAGTGTTTCGGAGCCACAGGCTGCACTTTGGTTTTTGAGGTTGACACTTTATTTTTAAAAAGGCTGTCTCAGTAGGAGAACCTGTGCATCAGAGGTTGATGCACAGAAAAATTCAATTACAGCTGGAGTAGGGCTGGCAAAAATTAGTCTATCATCTTATCAGCTGTTTATTATAGAATATTTTTCAATCTAAATTCTCCGCTCAGGAGAGAATTTCTGAACTACG